ACTTTAATATTGATATCAATAGCATTAAGAGTCACTTTATTAAGTTTAATATAAAAAGTAGAAAATAAAGCAATATCATATTTTAATTTATTAATCATATTAGAAATATAATTATTAATTTTATTAATTGCAATTATTTTAATAGAGGCTTTTTTACTATTAATATTGGCTATTTTTTAGATTTTTTCTTTTTAGCCCTATTAGTTTTGTATTTAATATATATCTTATATGATTTATTTTCATATATAAATACTTCAAAAGAAAGTATATAATTATAAGAAGTGCAAATATCTATTAGATTACAACTGTGTTAATTTGATTATAGTCAAAGCTTTAGGGATAAGTTTTTTAAAAAAATTTTGTTAAATTATTTAATTTTATTTTTGCTAATGAATTTATTATATAGGTATTTTATATTAATAAAAATAAGATAATGATTAAGCAATTTCAATTTATCAAATTTATTATTTTTTGATTTATTTATAATTTATTTGACTCTACTATAATTTTGTAATTTTATAAATTTGCATAAAGTCAGAATTAATATATTTTATGCAAATTATAACTACAAACTTTTATATAATTTTATTATATTATTTTCCAAATAATAGTATTTATAAAATATAAAGTGCTCTTAAGTATTTTAATTGGTAAAAATTAGTTTATTCAGCAAGCAATTTTATTATTAGGATAAGAAAAAAAAGTTGGTTTAGTGACTTTTTTTTTTTATCAAAAATTATACTGATTAGTAAAATTAATATCTAACTTTATAGCATAAATTTTTACTATAAAGATTGCTTTAATTAATTATAGTACTTGGGCATACTTTATAATTAGTTTATCATATTGAAAAAAATATTTGAGAGTATCTATAATCTAGCCAAAATTACCAAAGTTATATAATTTATATATAACCTAATTATGATCTATTTAACTTTGAATATTTATTTTTTGAATATTATTAATTATATAATAAGGCCAAATTAAATAAACTACAAATTATTATTAAAATTTATTTAACCTAATTTATTATTTAATTTATGATTTATATTAAAAAATTAATCATCTTAAATTTCTTTTGTATTTCAAAAAAAAAAAAAAGTTTATTATATTTGTTAAATTTAATTATATGATTTAATTGGTTGATTGGACAAACTATGCTGGAGATATGCGATCTAGATTAAAAAGTTATGTGATTAGAAAATTCATTCTATACTCTAGTATTGTTATTAATTAATATAGATTGATAAGAATCTAGAAGTAGTTGTTTAAAATTATTAGAAAGGAAAATAATAGTTTGAAATTTAATAAAATTATAAACTATTGCAGAATCAAATATTAGAAAAAAGTAAAAAAAATAGATTGAAACAACTCAACATAGATATACAAGTTTTGGTTAGCTAGAAAAGAGAACAAACATAAAGGTTTAGAAGTTGGAGTACTAGTAAATAAACAATAGTCAAAATATATTGGTAGAGTTGTCAAATATAGCTCATACCTAATTAAAATTGAGTTCTTTTTCAAAAAAGCAATTATACAAGTATGGATATTATACCTACCACCTGCAAACAAAAAAATTACTAGAGAAGTTTAACAAACAATAATGAAAGAAATATATATTAACAAGATCAATATATATACCTGTATAATAGGAGATTTTAATGTACTAGGTAGTATAGAATTAGATACAAACAATAAAAGTCACAAAAATTAGGAGTTAAGTAAAATATTATTAAAGTAGCTTAGAAGCAAAAATCAAATTGATACTTTTTGATACTTAAATCCACACAAAAAAAAATACTCTTGGTACAAAGAAGAGCTAGCATCAAGAATAGACTATATATAGATAGAAGAAGAAATGCAAAGCCTTCTTAATAAAGCAAAAATTGAAGATATCAATATACTTACTAGCAGTGATTATAAGCTAATATAGACAGAACTCAAAATAAATAAGATACTTAACTATGAGAAATTTTACAAGAAAGAAAAAAAAAAACTAACAAGAAGAGTTTTTCTTTATTACAAAGCCACAGTAGAGAATTGGAAGTCTTATAGTGAATATGTTAAGTACTTTCTAAAAAATAAAATAATTAGCATTACCAATATTAGCTCAAGTAGCAATATTATAGACATTAATAAAGAGTAAGATAATATAAATAGTACAATAAGTAAAGTAGCATTAAAACATATCCCATGGATAAATATTAAAAAAACAGAGGCCCAAGCTAGGATATCAATTCCAAAATCTAGTATATATAAAAAGGTTAAATTTTTATATCTATTGTAAAAAAAAAAAATATTTATATAATGGAAAAAAGATAAATTTAAGAGATATAAAAACTTATAATACTCAAATCAAAAGAATAAACCAAATATATCAAACACAAATTTTACAAATGCCAAATTATTGGAGCCAGATTAAAGTAGATAAACTTCAAAACTGAGATAAGGTCTTGCAAAAAAAAGCAAAAAAAGAAGATCATAAAAAAAAAGCAAAAGATATAAGCTTAAAAATAAAAAATAGATTTGGCATGATAAAGAATAACAAGAAAATAATACTCATTAGTTTACTAAACAAGCTCTTTAATAAAGTTGCAATTGATAAAATATTCTTGAAAAAAAACTTCTATTACCAAACCAAGAGCTTATTAATAAAAAAAAAAAGGTAAAACAGCAAGTTACTAAGCATTTTCAGAAGCAGTTTAGAAAACAAAAGCATAAGTTCAAAAAAATAAGTTAAAAGTAACAAAAAGAATACAGGCTAAAGAGGATTTTGATTCAAACATGTATAAAGATATTCTAATTTCAATCAGCAAAGAAGAGTAGTTCTAGGCTCTACACAAAGTACAAAATAAATAACACCAGATATATTAGATATTGGTTATATACTACTAAAAAAAGTATTACCAGAGGTAACTAAGAAATTAATAGATTTTACAAGTGCTATATTAGATCAGAGCAAAATTTCAAAAAGTGAAAGTTAGAACAATTATACTTAATATCTAAAAGTAGCTTCTAGGAGTATAATCTTAATAAAACAAAACCTATAGCACTACTAGAAACATACAGAAAAGTTCTAACAAGGATTATCCAAGCAAAACTAAATAAAGTTTTAAAAGAAAACAAAGTTTTAAAAAGAGTAAATTTTGCAGGCCTATTAGAAGAGAGTATAGCAACTCTGATTTATACTATAAACAATTTAATAAAAAAGGCTGTAGAGGAAAAAAAAGAGCTATGGGTTATGTATTAAAATATAAAAAAAGCTTTTGACTTAGTAAGCATAATAGTATTAGAGAAAGAATTAAATTCTTCAAGAAGCTGATAAGCTTTATTATGTATTTGTACAAAAATAGAAAGTTAAGCATCATAACAGAGTTTGGCAACACAGATTTCATTAAAGCTAGAGATGAAATTGACCAAAAGGAGGTGTTATCATCCTTGGTATTAAGAATTTTCTATAATCTTCTCTTGTGTAGAATACAAAACACAAAACTGGGATATGAAATACAGAACACAATTTATAGTAGCAACAAAAAAAATAAATCAGAAAACCTGTGTATAAGAATGCTTGCCTATGCAGATAATACTACATAGCTAATGAGTAGTCAAGCAAGTATACAAAAAAAAATCAATATCTCGAATGAATTTTATGAACTGAATAATATTAAAATAAATCCAAACAAAACTGAACTAGTTGTAGTAAAGCCAGGTAGAAGAAAATACAAAAAGGATCTTTTTATTTAGGCAGGTAACTCAAGAACAAAGATTTAAACAAAGGATCACAAAGAAGTAACATGTTTTCTAGATGTTGGGTTTTAGCAAAAAACCAACAAAGATTAGATATATACAAAGAAAAGAGAGAAGTTTAGAATTTGTAATTTGGTACTTTATAAATTACTTATTTATATATATATCTTTATAGTATAGATCTATATATAAAAGTTGTGAAATTTACTAAAATTCAACTAATTCTTAAACTACTACATAAAAGCTTCAAGTTTATAAAATATTACTCTATACTTCAAGGCAGAATAAGTAATATGAATACTTTAAAAATATAATATACTTTAAAACAATATAAAAATTTTTTATAAATTATGTAATAGATAACAAATAATATAATATTTTTTCTTGTTCATTTATATAAATGTTAAATATCAACATTTATACAAAAATTAATATTACTTTTACATAAATATTACAGTAAAATGCACTGAGAAACATATAAAAAAGTATCAAAGAAATAGAGTATATTAAAAAAACACCTAAATAATAACAAAAACACAAACCATTTAAAAAAATAACAAATTAAGAAATATCGAAATAAATATCAAAAAATAATCAAAGAAACAAAACAAATAAAAAAAATCTAACAAAAAGTGATAAAAAAAAAAAATACCAGACAAACAATATATAAAAGTACCAAACAGAAATAAAAAAAAAAATAAACAAACCAGATTTATATAAACAATAAACATTAAAATATTAACTTACTAATCGCAAATCAGCCTCCAAAAACAAACTGAAAGTGATTTGCAGCTTGGGATTTTCTTAATATAAGGATTCCCACTATGTACGTTTATATACCCAATTTTTAAAGCGTGCCTCAAACTCTAAATCCATTGTATAGCAAAATAAGATCCAGGTTGGCGGGTCATTTAAAATTATATATAATATGAAAACCAGAAAATTTACTTTCTTCTCCAAAGTTAAATTTTATTATACAGTCAGACCTTGATAATTACCAGGTTGAACAAATAGCTAGATCAAAAGAATAGTGTGATTATAACAAGGTTGTGACTATAACGAAATCTAACTGTAATCTAATTACATAATCTGCAAAAAATTTATATGCATATTAACTTGTAACCGATTTTGATTGGTCAAACGTAAATTTACTACATTTAGTCAAAATTATATTACAAAAAAAATTTTTATTAGATTACAATAAAATCAACTTTATTAAAGAAATGTTCTTTGTAAAACCACAAGATTCTAGATCAAGCATCTGAACTACTATCTTCTACTTTAACTCTTTTAGGAGATGGTTGTTGTTGTTCTACTGATTCATTAGTATCAACTTGATTATTATTTTCTACCGATTCCGATATATCCGTCACTTCAATGTTTTTATTAACAGGAGATTGTGGTACAACCTCAACATTAGTATTAGAATTATCAGATGTCTGGACATCTTGCATTTCAACAATTACTTCTACATTATAAAAAACAAATATATTAATATGAAATTGATTATTTTAACCGGGGGTAAAATCGGTTTTGGGTCAAAATCCCGAACAACAGATTATCGAAAGAACGTAACACCGGCTAAATTGGCAAACATTATAGCTAGTGCCGGCTAACTTTGTCGGTATTATGTTCTTTCGAGAATCCGTTTTTCGGGATTTTGACCCAAATTCGGTAAAATCACTGGGATGTTATATCTCAAAAATGTAATCAAGGTAGGTATTCTAAGTAAAAATGTTCAATACCCCAAAACCTTAAAATTTGTACTATTATACCCAACCCCTCTCTTGTCTCAGATGCACCCTAACCATAAGGGCGGTGATTTTACCTCCGGTTGAATATCGTTTATTTTCCATAAAAAAATTTAATAAACATTAAAACTATAATTATTCTAACATACCATTTCCGGTTGATGTATCTTCAGAATCATCTCTAGAACGCTTACGTCCAACTATTTCATGAGAACTATTAGTAACCTCAGTAGAAGCTGGCTGTATTGCAATTCCTGGTTCGGAAGATTCGACGGCACTCGTTTCACTGGAATGAGACTCAGAAGTAGCTAATGTACGTGAAACTAGTTGCTGTTCCTCTATTGGTGGTGGTGTCGATACAACAACTTGAACCGGGGTTATCTTCGGTGATTGCGATACAGTTAGCGGAACGCGATTTCTTTGTAATTTGACTGGCGGCTTCTCTTTTGGCACATTCGGTGTAACTGCAGGTGCAGAAGGAACAATTACAGCAACTTGTTTTAAAGTTGGTGACGTAGCAGCACCTATCGTTCCGTCATTAGCGTCTGCGTTATTAGATGACTGAGGCAGTTCCTTGGTCTCAGTAGCAGTTGCTGAAACGTCTATTGGAGGCGGAATAATCGTTAAAGCTGTTGATGTTGGTTGTGAAGCAGTAGGGGGTTTCGTTATGTTTACTTGAGGCAAAGTGGAAGGTGGTATAATGGAAGGTGGTAAAACGGGAAGCGTTAAAGTGGGAGGAGGCAAAGTGGGAGGAGGCGAAGATGACGTTATTTCCATTGTATTCGGTACAGTGTCTGATTTTGGAATATTTTGTTGGGATGTTGTTTGTTGTTGTTGAAGCTGATTTATCTGATTTTTTAACTCTGCCTTTTCCGTCTCCAACTTTTTAATTTTACTAGAGAACATCGATTCTTGTGCCTTGTACCGAAGATAATCTGAAGTTTTCTCTTTCTCATCTTGTAATTCTTTCTTTAACCCTTCGATTTGTTTTGTAAACTCTAAGCCTTGTTGTTTCAACTCCTCTAATTCTTTAGAAACATCTTGATGTTTTTGCTTCAACTCCTCTAGTTCTTTCTTCGTTTGTTCGGCTTGAGCCAAATTTTTAAAGCGACTTTGCATGTTACTCACTCTTTTCCGTAGATTATCGTGGTTGGTTTTTTCTTTTGTAAGCTCTTGAGTAAGTGTCGCTTTATCTTTTTCCAAGTTTGCTTTATCTTGCGTTAGAGCAGATTTTTCTTTCTCCGTTTGATCAAGCTTATTTTTGATTTTTACTGCCTGACTTTTAATAATTTCACACTTTGGTTTTAAAAATATAATGAAAAAATAAGTAAATTGAATTTAGTGATACGGAAGTTCTCAACCACAAAAATGCACTTGATAACTTTTAATATTGAGTCTTGCTGTACGACATAGTTTCATTTACCTGTTTCCTTGCTAAAGTAAAATCGTTCCGCAATTTACCATTTTCAGCTTTAAGTTTATCACGATCTTCCGTGGTGGACTTCAAATTATCTTTCAAATGTTGCAATTCGGTAGGATCACTGATCTGTTTTTCAAGTGAAGAACATAAATTAGCTATTATTTAACGATAATTAGCTGAATAAAATTTATGTACATACTCCATATTTCTGCAAAACGGTGTGGAATCGGTTTTTCCATCGTTCATTGTCTTCTTTGAGTATCTTCATTTCTTGAGTGGAACTATCTTGGTCGAGTTGTAGACTTTTGATTTGTGCTATTTGAACATTTAAAAAAAGAATAAGACATTACCATTAAAATAATTTATGCCGAAATGTCTAATGATTACCATCTAGTGCTTGCACTTTTTCCTCTGCTTCTTTCAACGAAGATTCCGACGTGGTAACTTGTTTTTCTAGTCGTTCACTTGAAGCTCTCAATGTCTGATTACTTTCTTCAAGGAGTTTTAATTGAATATTTTTTTCTGAAAGTTCTGCTTGCAGTTTCTCCAAAGGTCCTGTCTTTTCTGCTTGCTCACGTTCCTAAACAAACAATTATAGCAATATAGTTAGCTCAATATGAAAATATTTTAAGAACTAAGACGTTTGAAATGAGAAACAAAAAATTAATACCTGAATGAACAATGCACGCACTTCATCCAATGACTTTTGAGTATGTTCATATTGAGCCAAATTTTTAAAGCGACTTTGCATGTTACTCACTCTTTTCCGTAGATTATCGTGGTTGGTTTTTTCTTTTG